CCAGTCCCTGGAGAAGGACATCATGCTTAGTAATTGTTGTAAATGCTGTTTATAATTGGTTCAAACTCATTGTGACCCTGTATAGTAGGGGTGGGGAACATCTGGACCTGCGGGCTGTATAAGGCCCTCAAAATCATTTGATCTGGCCCTGCCACGGTAACTGCAGTTCCAGCCATCACATTATAGCAGGTCAATTTTTAAGTTGATAATTTTGTATGGCCCATGAATGATGTTATAAATATCCAAGTGGCCCTTGGCAGAAAAAGGTTTCCTAACCCTGCTTTTTTATAAGGTTTCCAAAGACCAGCTTGGGGGTTTGAACTATTGACCTTGTGGGTCACAGTCCAGTGCTTATCCTGCAGTGCCACACCATGCGTCCAATGCTTAGTAGAGGATCAGTTAAAAAGAGAAAGACCCTCAACGAGATGAATTGACACAGTGGCTGCAAAAATGGGCTCAAACATAACTACAATTGTGAGGAAGGTCCAAGACTGTACAGTGTTTTCGTTCTGTTGTACATTGGGTTGTTTTGAGTGGAACTGATTCAACTGTACCTAACAATGACAATAACAACACTGTATACTGTGGTGGTATGCATGTTGATATGGTGCTGGAAGCTATGCCACTGGTATTTCAAATACCAGCAGGGTCCCCATGATGAACAGGCTTCAGTAGAGTTTCCAGCCTAAGGATAAAAAGAAAGGCTATTCACTCCCTAAAATCAGCTTATGGAAACAGTACATTGTCAAATCTGCTTGCTTTCCACATGTCACTGGGAAGAATCAATTGCTGGAGGGGAACATCATGTTTGGTGAAGTAGAGAGCCAGTGAAGATGAGAGAGGCCCTCAATGAGATAGATTGGTACAGTAGCCACAATAGTGGACTGGAACAGTGGACTGTGAGGACAACAGACGACACAGGGTTGACTTCATGACAGCTAATCTCTCTCTCTGTCTCTCTATTATATGCAGGCTATGTTGTTGTTGTTGTTAAGTGCCATCGAGTTGGTTCCGACCCATAGCGCCCTGTATAGGGTTTCCGAGGAGCAGATGGTGAGCTTGAACCACCTACCTTGCAGTTCAAACGGCTTTGCAATCTGGTGCATTAACCCACAGCACCACACCAGGACTCCATGCAAGCTATACCTCAATTAAAAAACAAATTCTAAGTTCCGGCTATAATTGCTCATTACATCAGATATCTGGCTCCTGTCTTCAGAAGGCCCTGACATTTGGGAAGGCTGGCCCAGCCCCATCTCAACAGGCTGATTTGCATGCCCTGTTGTGGTCCAGTGGACGCCCCATAGTACCCCACAGCACCTGGGACAGCACCCAGAAGAACAAAGCCAGTCTGCTCCCTGTCTTTGCCCATGGCCATCTGGTGCCTGGTCCTTCTCACTGGGACCTTCCTGGCAGGTGAGCATTCAGGGACCTAGCTTATCTGGGAGTCGGGTAGGGAGACAACAGTGTCTTCAGAAAACCCTGCAAGAAAGCAAATGGATTAGAGCAGTGTCAATGGTCCTGGGTGGGGTATCGAGATGGAGTGGAGATTTGACCCCAGTAAGCTCTACCCTGAGCTGGGGTCAGTCAGGGTCTCATCTTCCCCACTTGTGAATCACTAGATCACTAGACTCCCTTTGGGCTAGGATTCTTTGGGGTCTCAGCTCTCACAGGGTGAGCAGGTCCCTATTTTGCAGTAGAAGAAGCCCCAGTGGTGCAGTGGGCTGCTAATTGTAAGGTCATTACTTCAAACCTACCAGCCACTTATAGGGAGAAAGATGCAGTAGTTTGCTTCTGTAAAGATTGACAGCCTTGGAAACTCTAGGGAGCAGGTCTACTCTGTCCTATAGGGTTGCTATGAGTGGGAATTGACTCAACAACAGTGGGATGATGATGATGATGACTCTAGAGGACCTCAGAGGCAACCAAACCCTGAGAAGGTCTGCAGTGGCCAGATGTCTGTGGCTGATCAGAGAAGAGGCTTCCCAGGGTAGATAGTTTGTAGCTAGGGTTTAAAAGAGTCAACGCTTCTCAGGGTGTGGGAGGCAGGGGTCTATTAGCCAAGGGCGGTAGATAGCAAGGGAACCCAGGGGTTCCCAGTCCTACCTTCCAAGTTCTAGGTCCGCAGCCCTTGGAATATGGCACTAACAGGGACCTGGGGTCACTGACTATAAGTGCCTTACTCCCAGAGGGGAACTGAGGTCTGGAGAGGGTGTACTAGGTCACAAAGAACTTGGCCTCCTGTGTCCTATTCAGTGCTCATAAATGGTCCTAAATTAAGAAATTTCTTTGAGCAGGACCTTGGGCCAGCAGGGAAGGTGCTCAGACTGGACCTGAGCCAGTTTTTCTCTCTTAGCCTCCCAGTCAACCCTAGCCCAGGCATATGCACTGCTGGTCTTCCCAGGCCAGATGGTCCAGCTCTCCTGCACGCTCAGCAACCCCCATGCCTCCATCAGTGACTACGGCATGTCCTGGTACCAGCAACGGGCAGGAAGTGCACCCCGATACCTCCTCTATTACCGCTCCGAGGAAGATCAGCACCGGCCTACTGACATCCCTGCCCGCTTCTCTGTAGCCTGTGACACATCTGATAACACCTGCATCCTGACCATCAGCCCTGTGCAGCCTGAAGACCATGCAGATTACTTCTGCTCTGTGGGTTCCAGCGCCTAGGGATGGGGGTGGAGGAGTGCCCCTGGCTGCCTTTAACTTTCTGAGCCTTGCTTTCCTTCCTCTGTAAAGTGGGTTGATAAAATTCATGTCAACCACAACTGCAGTGGAGTATAAAGTCTGAGATCTTGAGCGTGTGCCTGTAAACTGAAGAGGAAGCACCTGAAATTCTTGAGGTGGGGCCCAGTTTTCCCCTGACTCCCAGGGGGCTCAGACTGATTGGGCTGGCCTTCCTGTGACCTGAGGGTTTGGAGGGGGAGAAATAGGAACCAGCCATAGCCACGCCCAGCTCTGCTTGGCTGACTGTGGCAGGGATGGAGCCCAGTCTGGCCTGGAGAGGGATAGCCTTGCCTATTCCTTGGAGGTTTCTGTCTAAATCAGGCTCAATCTTGAGGGGGCAGGGAAGCAGGTGTGCTTGGGGTTTGGGGCTAGAGGCCCTGAGGAACAGGGCTGGGGGTGGGTGGGTGGGAGGGAAGCTAGGGGACACCGCCCCTGTGGAGGGTCCCCACCTCGTCCCAGGAGACACTGTCTCAGCAGGTCAAATGGGGTCCTGGGTGGAGGACAAGTCTTGCCATCAGAAGCAGGGCAGAGTCTGTGGGAGTGAGGTGAGTGTGGGATTCAAGACATGTCTCTTTATTCCCTGTTCCCCTAAATTGAGCTTCATATCTGATCTCAGGGTCTCGCCTACATTCTCAGTCCCTTCCTGGCCCAACCTCCCAGGCATTGACTCTGAAGGGGTCCAGGTTTTTGGGGTCCTCATAGAGGCGACAAAGTCCTGGTGTGGCGCTGTGGGTTAATGCGCCAGACTGCAGAGCAGTTTGAACTGCAAGGTTGGCGGTTCAAGCTCACCAGCTGCTCCTTGGAAACCCTATACAGGGTGGCTATGGTTCGGAATTGACTCGACGGCACTTCACAACAACAACAACATAGAGGCAACAGTTCGGCTGGCCCGACCCTCTCCAGCCTCAGCTTCCCCCTCTGCATGCCGGCAATAGCCCCCGCCACTGAGCAGTCACGCGGGAGCCGAGCATTCGTTCGCAGGTGCCTGAGCTGCTGCGCGCGCGCGCCGACACTGGACCACTGAGACAGCCCGCCACACCGCCTAGCGCGGCCCCGGAAGTGCCCGCGGAGGGGCGGGGCGGGGCACTCGGCAGCCAGGCGCTCTACTCCCGCGCCGACTAGGGCCGTCGGCCACGGGTAGGAGCGACTCACATGCAGCCCCGCCTCCGCCCGCGGCCCCGCCCGCAAGGTGAGCGGCTCCGCCCCGCTCAGGTGAGCCGTCTCGCGTCGGCGGTGTGCCTTGGGACTGGTATCCCCCGAGTTGCGTGACTTCCTGTGTACGGTGGCCCCGGAGCGGGCGTCCCGGGCTGTAGGTTTCGGCGTCTCAGTCCACGGGGCGTCCAAGTGTGCGGAGCTCCGCTGGGAGACCCGCCGGTTGTGCGGGCTCGCGGAGACGGGAAGGACTGTGCGGAAAGGCCCGGGAAGGGTGGGAAACATGGGTTTCAGACCTCGGGAATGCCAAACATTTAAAAAATCGGTGGGAACAGATGAAGGATGGCCAACTTTTTATCCCAAGTAGAGACTTCAGATCCGGAGGGAACCTTGGAAACCCCTGATTGAACAGGTGGGTGGGGGGAGAGTTGCATTCCGCAGATCTGAGCGTGGAAATCAGGAAAAACTTTCAGAAACCGGAGGGCTTCGAACAGGACGGGCGGGCGAGCAGGGAGCAGTCTTCAGGCACTCTAGCGGGCGGGAAGTGTTAGTGAAGGGAATAAATACCCGGTTTCCCCTGGTGGTTGCTGGGTGGGCCTATACTGTCACAGGTTTCAGTTTTCCAAGAAAAAGACAAACCAACTGAGTTTTGTTTATTTTTAAACTTTTTGTTATGAATTGGGTGAAGGTGTTACAGCGTTTTTTCTTTTACTGACCTTCCTCATATATTGCTTTCCCCTTTTACCTACGTTAATATATATCTAGAAGAATGGGATAAGCGCTGAGAGCAACAGGAATTGAGTAGATGAAAAATCACTCTTAAATTCTGCTGAGTTCCTCATGGTGCGCTTTATGCAAGAGATAGCCTTTTTTTTTTTTTTATAAACCTTTTTATCGTGAGTGGAGTGAAGGTCAAAACTTTCAGATAAGATCATATGTTTTATATTCAACAAATCATAACACTTTGCTTATTTCAATGACTGCAATCCCCTTCACACAACAGTTACCCCGTTTCCTTCCTGTGGTTCCTATTTCCATTCCACCCACATTCCCATACCATCTCAACTTTCTCCTTAGGTAAATGTTGCCCTTTTGATTTTGAATGATTCACCATTCAATGGTGAGCATCCGTTACCTATATATTGTTGTTGTTAAGTGCCTGTTGAGTCAGTTCCAACCCATACTGACCCTGTATAGGGTTTCCAAGGAACAACTGGTGAGCATGAACCACTGATCTTATGGTTCAAACCGACTTTGCATTCCAGTGTATTAACCCACAGTGCCACATCAGGACTGCTATTGTTGTTGTTGTTAAATGCCATCAAGTCAGTTCTGACCCTTAGCGACCCTGTATAGGGTTTCCAAGGAGTGGCTGGTGAGCTTGAACCATCGACAACCTTGCAGTCCAACCCACAGCGCCCCACCAGGACTCCTATAGATATATAAACCTATGTTGTTGTGAAGTGCTGTTGAGTTGGTACCGACCCATAGCAACCATGTATAGGGTTTCCGTGGAGCAGCTGGTGAGCTTGAACCACCAACCTCACTGTTCAAATGGCATTGCAGTCTGCATTAACCCACAGTACCACACCTCTATATATACCTACATGTATATAGAGTCCTGGTATAGTGCTGTGGGTTAATGTGCCAGACTGCAAAGCCGTTTGAACTGCGAGGTCAGTGGTTCTGTAGAACCCTATACAGGGTCACTATGGGTCAGAATTGACTCGACGGCACTTCACAACAACAACCCCCTATATACCTATGAACTACTTGGCTGAAAATTGGGCCATCAAAGTGAGTTCCTTCCCAGTCTTGGGTTCCTCCTGTCTATGTCTGACCAGTAAGCCTAGCCTTTTTTTTTTTTTTAAATAATTTTGAATTGTATTCCACATTTTCTCCCACTCTATCTGGGACCTTCTAATGTGATCCCTTTCAGAGCAGGTGGTAGTGGTAACTGGGCACCATCTACGTCTCAGAGTGGTGGAGACGTTCACATATTCCATTAGACTAACTCATTCCAAGCATCTTCAGTTTTCATCAGTCCTCTTTCTTCAATATTTGGAAGTTACACCGTACTGTAGTTGTTAAGCACTTTCAAGTTGATTCTGACTCATAGTGACTGTACAGCAGGGGTGGGGAACTTTCAGACTAAGGACTGTTAAAGGCCTGCAAAATCATTTGGACTGGCCCTGCCAAGGCAACTGCAGTTATAGCCATCACATTTGTTGCTGCTGTTAAGTGCCTAGAGTTGGTTCCAATCCATAGCGACCCTGAATAGGATTTCCAAGGAGCGGCTGGTGGGTTTGAACTGCTGACCTTGCAGTTCAAACTGACTTTGCGGTCCAGCGTATTATCCTGCAGTGCCACACCAGGACTCCAGCCATCACATTAGGGATGAGCTCAGTTAGTTAAACGTTTGACTAAATATAGCAGGCTAATTTTTAAGTTGATAATTTTGTGTGGCCCACAAATGATGTTATAAGTATCCAAATGGCCCTTGGCAGAAAAAAAGCCTTCCCACCTCTGCTCTACAGAGTTTTCATGGAGCAACTGGTGGGTTTGAACTACTGACCTTGTGGTTTGGAGTCCAGGACTTATCCTACACCTGGAATCTGTAGCTGGATGCAAATGAGCTTGCTACTCACCAAAGAAAGATGTAGAACATTGTCTTTGTGGACTATGTTATGCCATAGTGTTCCTGACCATGGTGTTCCTGAGACTATGGTCCTGAGCTCCTAGGCCCAGGAACTCATTGCCTTAAGATACTTGATAGTATCTGAGTTTTCATCATTTTGTCCCCTTTATGTTCTACCACAGTTTTAGGTGTGTTTGCAACAAAAGTAAATACCCGTGTACAAAAAACCTCTTTTAAAAACATGTATTTGTGGATATAGTCCCATTCTTCCTCCCATATCCATTCAGTCTGTGCATCTGTCCGTGTATTAATCTTCAGAACATTGTTACTCCAATATATTTAACTCTATTTACCTCCATCTCTTTTAACTTTTGTGTACCTCCTGTTTCTTCACCTTTCTTTATCATTCTTTCGCCAACCTTGTGCCCTCCCTGTCACCAGAGTTACTGTGCCTACCCCTAGCCAGTGAATTACTTTCCTTTCCCTTCCACCCCTGGTAACCATCAAAGAATGTTTCTTTTAGCATGAAAAAGCTTTACTGAGTTTTTACAATAGTGGTCTCATACAATATTTGTCCTTTGTTGTTGTTGTTGTTAAGTGTCGTCGAGTTGGTTCCGACCCATAGCGACCCTGTACAGGGTTTCCGAGGGTGTAAATCTTTACGGGAGTAGAAAGCCTCATCTTTCTCCCGCGGAGCGGCTG